TCAAATAAATAAATAAAATCTTTATTTAAAGAAAGAAATAAATATTAAAAATTAAAAATATTTTTGTTACTGCTTTCTTGTTTAATTCCGTTGTGCTCAGAGAACATACTGATTTCTATTTTAAAAATGTGTTTAGTTTGTTTTATGGTCCAAAATATGGTCCATTTTGATGAATACACCATGTGCACATTAAAAAAATGTGCATTCTGAAACTACTGTTAAATATTGTATAAATACCCATTAAGCTGGATGACAAGTGTGGCTCAAGTCTTCTATGTCCTTCCTGATATTCTACCTACCAGTTCTCTAGTGATTTCTGAGAGGGGATAAATTGTTTATTTCTCCTTCAGTTCTATCAATTTTTACTTCAAGTATTTTGGTGCTTTGTTGTTAGGTGCATATACAGTGAAAGTTGTTATGTCTACCTGCTGATGAATTAGTCATTATGTAATATTGCTCTTTATTCCTGGTAATAGAATAACATTTTCTATCTACCTAACATTCCACATCAAAGCAGAACTAGAAAAAAAGACTCAGTATTAGTGAGTGCACTTTTACTCTTAAGGCATGCCCAACTTCAAACTGCCTCCCTCCCCACGCCCAGCTTCCCCTCTTGGAGATTCCACAGCAAGTGGAACAGGTTTCTGAGGGTGAGAGTGACTTACCGAGTTATATCACAGAGATTCTGAAAGACCTTCTCTGGGTTTTGGCCATCAGGACCACTCACATGCCCTGTTTCCTTGAGCTGCTGTACCTTCTGCAGAGCTACACTCACCGCGTGGCGCATGAACTCATTGCTGGACCTCAGAACAGAAAGGCTCTCTTCGTGATTTTGGGTACTGTCCCTAGAGAGACAGAGGGAGAAAGAGAGAGAGAGAAAGAGAAGAGAGTCCACTACTGCTCCTGGGATCTGGAATTAGGTTTTCTGGGGACTGTTTAGAAGAACAGGATCTAGTAAGCTCTTAACGACAGCCACCAGGCAGCCGCTATCACTGCCTCAGCTCCCTTTTACAGCCCTCATTCTCAGTGTGATCTCCTTTCCTCCCCTCCCCAATCCCTTTACTTTGATAAGATTTAAATGTCAGTCTTAGTTTCCTATGTTTTTTTATTGCTGTTATTCCTACGTTTTCAATTCAGGTTTTTCTTTCTTCCCCTTTTTTCTATTATAACAGTGTTCAAGCTACTTAGGTAGATTTTCCTACAATACCTTATTGCAATCCATTCTTTTCTTCAGTAGTCCACTGTTTCTGAGTTTTCTCTATTAATAATTCAAGGTAGTTCTTTAAAGTGCCTACCTAGGATTATCCAGCTTTCATGTCAAGAAACTTACAAACCTCCTGACTTACTTCTTATTATATATATATATTAAGAATTGTGAATCCAGGGCGCCTGGGTGGCTCAGTTGGTTGGGCGACTGCCTTCGGCTCAGGTCATGATCCTGGAGTCCCGGGATCGAGTCCCGCATCGGGCTCCCTGCTCAGCAGGGAGCCTGCTTCTCCCTCTGACCTTCCCCCCTCTCATGCTCTCTCTGTCTCATTCTCTCTCTCAAATAAATAAATAAAATCTTTAAAAAAAAAAAAAGAATTGTGAATCCAAACTAGATAATACTAGTGAACCTGTTACTATCTTTACTGCACAGATGTCTTTAAGTGCTCTGTTATAAACTTACCTGAAAAGAGCAGTGAGAAGATCAGACACAAATTTCATGGACCAAAAACTATCCATTTTGTTGGCCATTTTAGTTTTGCCTTTACCAGCTTTTTCATTAAGGATGTCAGAGAGTTTCTTGTAACACATAAATAAGTTCAGAACCTCCTCAAACTTGTTCTTACTGTATAAAAGGAAAGAGACCACTAAGGACAAGCATCAGAATATTGTGGTTTAACTTTCACACCCAATAATAAGGACATCACAATGTTTCTTTAGGTGTTCTATTTTAAACACATTATAAATGAATGAATTTGCATTAACTTCCAGATGACTCTAATCCATCTATGTTATTTTTTTTCTCTCTTATTTATACCAGTCAATGCAGAGCATGGAAGCCCAATACTACCAACCAAACAAAATTTCTCTATTGAAATCAGAACTTCTTGAGTTCAGTGTTTGGGAATTTGTTATAAATGAAAGCCTGCTACCCCTGTGATATATGTTTGGTGTTCTCTGGTAGAAAGAGCACAGTCTGGTCTTAGGCTAGATGTCCACCTAAGAGACAGCGTCACGGCCTGTGGTCTGTCCAGTGCCTAGTGCACTGTTAGAGTTAAGAAACAAAAAACAAAAAAACACAAAATGGAAGTATTCATCAAATTGCAAAGAGTCATAGCAATACCTTACCTAAAATTACTTATGGAGAAATTATATTCTATTAGAACCTCACAAATTCCCATCACAAGAGAAGCACAGATATTATTTTTGATGCCAACACCACTGCTCTGAGAAAAATCTGCCGATTTATCCTAAAAGACACAAGATAAAAATTAATGAGCTATTGGGGTGCCTGGCTGGCTCAATCAGTGGAGCGAGTGACTCTTGATCTCAGGGTTGTGAGTCTGAGCCCCACACTGGGTGTAGAGATTAAAAATGAAATCTTTAAAAAATTAATAAGCTATTAAAAACCTACATCATTCAATACAGCTGAGACTTAGCAATTACCAATTCAAAGTCCTCTAGTTCACTCTTAATCATTCTACTAGTAATAGACTCCAACATATCCTCTAAGTCTTTGTAGAACTCTTCTTCCTCCTCTTCTTCCTGCTGTAGGGGCATCACTCTACTCTTATACCAGACCAAACAGTGCTGGACACAACACAGCAGATGATCCTGTAGAAAACAATAGTAAACAGTTTTGAGTGTTTAAGGGACAATCTATGAGGCTGTTGATAATCAACAAATAATTCTTACCTACAAGGCTAAAATAAGTTATTCATTAGCATCACGAATTAAGTCAACCTGAATTAGCAAAACTGGAAAAAATTAATTGAACCAACAAAGGCATTCTTTCCTGACCTTTCCCAAAAACTGGCTTTGTAAGTACCAGACACCTCAGAATGCAACATCAGAATGTGCTACTTCTGCCTTGTGGCCACACCACGGAGGTTGTGAAGTTAAATTCTGATTCGAGTCCCAGAGGCTGTTTTAAAGATAGGGGCTGGGGCGCCTGGGTGGCTCAGTCGGTTAAGCGTCTGCCTTGGGCTCAGGTCATGATCCAGGGTCCTGGGATCGAGGCCTACATTGGGCTCCCTGCTCAGCAGGGAGTCTGCCTCTCCCTCAGCTCATGCTGCCTCGTATGCTTGCTCTCTGGCAAAAAGAAATAAATAAAATCTTTAAAAAAAAAATAAAGAGAGGCTTATGTTGAGGGTATCTATGGGAGACCAACAGAGCATCTCCGTCTCATGGCACAAGAAGGCCCATTTATGAAGGCAGGATCTGACAACTTAAAAGACCACTTCCCTCCCCTGTCATGAGCTCTAAGTTACTTGGGATGGTGAAATTTCAGTTTTTATCCTCTCTTCCTGAGGCTAGAGCACAAGAATAGAAAAACCACCTGTCCTAGTTCCCCTGAAGGTTCAAGAATGCCAATTCTAGCTTAGCATAAATCACATACTCCCCTCAGACTAGTAAGGCAGGTTCCCTTAGCAGGTTCATCTGCTACTGGGTGACCTCTCTTCCCCATTCCAAAGCCTATTTTAGCATATTATATAGTCAAAGAGCCATAAATGGGAGACAAAATGCTCCCTGGGGGGAGTGATGGATGCCTTGATTTAGTAAAGTGCTGACATGGAGATATCTTACCAACAGATCCAATGTGATGATGGATCAGAAAAGAAAAAGAGGGAAGATTTAAGAGTAAAGTTTCATTGCGAGTACCAGAAGAGTGCTGACTCTATCAACAGGGTTGATGTTTTTACTTAACAGTAAAAATAATGGTTATAGAAGGAATAAAAGACTCACCAGTGGTTCTTGTAGAGAGATCTGATCTCCTTGGGTCAAAATACAGGCTTCTAATTTCAGAGGCGGCAGCACATCAGGTTCTGGTTCATAGAACTGTTTTAACTATATATGATAACGAAAAAAAGATACCACAGCTCATGAATGCTTTTCACTTCTTTAATTGGTCAAACTAATGGCACCTTTAATGTCTGATATCTTCTAAGACGTATTTCCCAAGTGTCCAAAGAACAACGCGGCAAAATTTGTGTTGCTTGGGCTCGTGCACATCCTTTACCCTTGCTTCAGGCATCATGTTGAGATATTCTTTCTTACTCCATTTCTACTAACTCCCCAAAACACATCATACTCTCTCACACCAATTCCTAAATTTGCATAAGGAATCAGCATTTTTAGTATAGCTTGATAGTTAAGTATAGGCTCCAGAGTCAGGATGGCTGAGTCTAAGTCCCAGTACGACCACCTATTAATAATTTTGGTAAAGGCATCCATGCCTTGGTTCCTCATCTCTGATGAGATTATTATTACTCTAAACAAATAAGGCTGTATAAGGACTGAACATGCTAATACATGTAAAGTGCTAAAAAAAAACCCCACTACTTAGAGCTCAAGAAACATTAGCTATTATTTTTCTCTTTTTTACCTTTGGAGTCTGCACAAGTTTACTGGTCTACATACTAACCTGAGTTGGGAAGCACTGCTCTATGCTTTCATCAATTTTTTATGCTTGTTAAGTGTGTGAATGTTGATGAGCTGATTATTACAGTTTGAAGGGTACACTATAGTTAACAGGTTATAAGTTTTATATAGGATCAGGCTTGAGGCCCAATGGAAAGCTTTTAATAAATAGTATAGTACCTTCCAATAATTTCTACACATCTCAAATCTTAACTTCAAATGCAGCTTCTTCAGCAGAACTGTAACAGAGCAATGGCATACAAAAGTGGGGGGAAAGGGAGAGAAAAGAACTTCCATTTTTAGCAAAGTGGTAGACAAGGGGTCTAGAGAAACCCTCCCGGTAGAGAACAATTTAAAAAATGTATTAAAAATTTTAAATAGATAGCTAAGATGATGGGAAAGTAAGAGAAGTCCTCAGACATCTCATTATATTAGAAAATGTCATAAAGCCTGAATCTAGCAACTACATGAGCAAATGAACTCTGAAACTGCTGTTTCTTCTGCCAGCACCTGCCAATTCTGGAGGCCTAGAACTATAGTTGTAGGGCTCATGGACCTGAAGACAAACCCTAGGGCCCTCATGGGGTGAAGGCTGAATCGGAGAACCTCACACAAAGCTGGAATTCTCAAAAGGAGATATCTCTTATGGAAAAACAAAACAAAACAAAAAATAAATCTTCTGTATGGAAAAGGCAAAAAGCCTCCCCTGGGAATTTCTAACCATAAGCTAATCTCCAAATGTAGTTTGGGCTAGAATTCACACCACTTGTGTGGTCTGAAGAATCAAAAGCCAAAAATTTAAAGTTTGGATTAAAGAAACATAGTACATACCTTCCAAGCAAGGGAAGAGAAGGAAGAAGAGAAATAACTAATTTCAAATTTTATATGAACTGGAAAAAGAGGGAACATTTCCCAATCATTTTAACTCATGTTAATAATCATTAAGCTCATATTAAACCAAGAAGTTCAGTATGAGAAATAAAAATTACAGGCCATTCTCTTATAAACATATATGTAAAAATTCTAAATGAAATATTAGTAAGCTGAATCCAATAATGTACAAAAAAGGTAATATATCGTAATTAATTTGAGTTTATCTTGGGAGGGCAACGCCGGTTTAGAAGATCAAATAATACAATTCACCACAGTAACACATTAAAGGAGAAAAATCACATGGTCATTTCAATAGATACAAAAACGCATTTGCTAATATTTAAGACACATTCAAGAGTAAAACAACAGATCTGAGATGGCAGTAGAAAGAATAAGTAAACTTGAAGATAGATTATGAGAAAATATCAAATATGAAGGGTAAAAAGTATTGAAGAAAAATGAATCAAATCTCAAAGATGTGTGGAACAAAATCAGGCATTCCAATATATATATACAACTGAAGTCCCAGAATGAAAGGAGAGGGGGCAGAAAAAATATTTGATGCGATAATGAGTGTACGTTTCTTCAATTTGGTGAAAAGCATCAACTTATAGATCCCATGAAGCTTAATGAACTCAAATAGAAACACACACACAAAAATCACATGTAAACATAAGTCAAACTCTTAAAATCCTAAGACAAGGAGAAAAATCTTCAAAGGAGTAAGAGAAAAATGACATAGAAAATACAGAAACCAAAGACACAATAATTGGTTCACTCAGGAATCAGCTCCTTGAGAAACAATGGAAACCAGAAGACACTGGAATGATATACTCAAAGTACCTAAAGAAGAAACTGTCAACTACGAATTCTACTTCCAGTGAAACTGTGCTTCAAAAATGAAGGCAAAATGATGTATCTCTATATAGATGAAAACTGAGAAGTCACTGCTAGCAGACCTGCACAACAGAAATACTAAACAAAAGTTCCTCAGGCTGAACAGAAGTTACTGAAGATGGTAAACCTGAATCCACATGAAGAGCTTTGGCAATGGACAAAAATGTTGGTATGTATAAAAGACTGTGTCTGTACACTTTGTTTTTTCTTAATTTCTATAGAAGACATACATATAACCGTTTAAAACAAAATATAACACCATCTTGCTGGGATTTTAACATAGATAGATGTAACATGTATGACAATACCATAAAGGCAGGAGGATGGATCAAAGTTCCTATATTTTACTGGAAGTATGTCAGTATTAACCTAAATATATAGTAATAAATTAAAGACACACACTGTAATCTCCAGAGCAAAATTAAAAATACAACAAAAGGGGGAAAAAATAAATAAATAAAAATGAATTAAAATACAACAAAAGGGGCACTTGGGTAGCTCAGTGCGTTGAGCGTCTGACTCCTGGTTTCGGCTCAGGTCATGATCTCATGTGTTGTGGGGTGGAGTCCCATGTTGGGCTCCGTGCTCAGCAGGAAGTCTGCTTGAAGATGCTCTCCCCCTGCCCCTCCCCCAACTTGCTTTCTCATGCGCGTGCTCTCTCTAAAGTAAATCTTTAAAAAAAATTTAAAAATATTTAAAATATAGGTAAAAAGTCAGTAAAACAATTAAATAGCAAAACAGACCTAAATCCAACCATAACAATAATTACATTAAATGTGAATTGACTAGACATTCCCATCTAAAGGAGGGGTGTCATATTGGATTAAAAATGCAAGATCCCTGCTTTCACTTCTTTTGGGTATATACCCAAAGGGGAAATGCTGGATCAAATGGTAACTGTGCTTAATTTTTTTTAAAGGACTGCCATACTTTTTTCCACAGCAGCTGTACCATTTTACCTTACCACCATTAATGCACAAGGGTTGCAATTTCTGTATACACACCCCCATTTTTCACTTTGATGGTAGACAGCCTAATGGGTATGAAGTGGTATCTCACTGTGGCTGTGATTTGCTTTTTCCTAATGATTAGTAATGTTGAGCATCTTTTCATGTGTTTATTGGCTATTTGTGTATATACATATTTTGGATGAATGTCTATTCAAGTCCTTTGCCCATTTTTTAATTGGGTTGTTTTTGTTGTTGTTGATTTGTAGGAATTCTTTGTATATCCTAGATATTAATCCCTTATTGGATATATGATTTATAAGTATTTTCTCCCACTCTGTGGATTGCCTTTTCACTCTGTAAATAGTGTTCTTTGCACAAAAGTTTTTAATTTTGGTGTTCTTTTGTTACCTGTTCTTCTGGTTAATGTCCAAGAAGTCATTAACAAATCCAATGTCATGAAGCCTTTCCCTTATATTTTAGGAGGTTTATAATTTTAGCTCTTAATGTTTTGGTCTTTGATCCATACTGGGTTAATTTTTGTATACCGTGTAAGGTAAGAATCCAAATTCATTTTCAGAATGTGAACATCCAGTTTACACAACATCATTTAACATCATTTGCTGAAAAGATAGATTCTCCTTGTTTTTATTTATTTATTTATTTTACTTACTTATTCATTCATTCATTCATTTGAGAGAGAACGAGCCCAAGCACGGGGAGAGGCAGAGGGAGAGGGAGAGGCAGAGGGAGACGGAGAAGCAGACTCCCCGCTGAGCAGGGAGTCTGACATGGGGCTTGATCCCAGGACCTGGAGATCACAACCTGAGCCTAAGGCAGATGCTTAACCATCTGAGCCACCCAGGTACCCCAAGATTCTCCTTGTTTTTAATCTAGTGCTTTTTACGTGAGGATTTTCATGCTTGGGCTCTTGAGCCAGGAAGATCTGAGTTCAAATCCCAGCTCTGCCACTTCCTACCTATGTGATCTTGGCCAAATTACTTAACCTTTCAGAATCTAAAATGGAGATAATTTTTATTTCACAGGGTTTTGTAGGATCAAATGAGATCACCCACCTTATAGTGCCTCATACACACTTGGCCCTCTCTATAATACAGTATGGTATTGTTGTTATTATCAGTACATAATTGCATCCTGAACTCTGTTAGGGAAGTTACCAAGAAGATGTGACCACCAGTTTACCCATGAGCTGGACCTGGGGGATCAGAGGTCCTTACCCTCCCCTCCCCTGTCCTTGGAATGTGGGTTCTCCTTGCCTTCCTGCTCCCAGAGGCTGCTCCAAGGACATAGCCTTGAGATGGTGATGATGCTGAGAACATCTACACAGTATATGTGACTAAGCCCAGTTAAGGCCTCTATTTAACCTTCTATGGATGTGGCAGGTGACTGCACAGGGATGCAATGGTCTTGCTGCTGCCCAAGACAAGCCTCACATATAAGTTCCTTTTGCTTCTTAAAGCTGCTACCTACCAACCTGGAGCAGCCTGCCTCTTTTGCTGGTCCCTCCCTGCCCTCTGAGTATAAGGGCCGATTTCAGATTATACCTGGGAAGCTCTGTGAGGGTTATAAACCAACAAACTCTCAATATACAAAAAGATTCAAATACCATATAATAAAATATTATTTAGCCATAAAAGGGAATGAAGTACTGATAGATGAAACAACATAAATAAACCGTGAAAACATTAAATGAAAGACATCAGTCACAAAAGACCACATATTGTATGATTCCATTCATATGAAATGTCCACAATAAGCAAATCTATAAACACAGAAAGCAGATTAGTGGTTGCTTAGGGTTAGGCGGGTGGGAGAAGGATGAGAAAATTACGGGGTGGTAGCTAAAGGGTGTGAGGCTTTTTCCTGAGGCGATGAAATGTTCTAAAATTGATTGTGTTGATGGTTGCACAATTCTATGAATACTAAAAACCAATGAGTTGTATACTTTAAATGGGTGAATTGTATAGTATGTAAATTATTTCTCAATAAAGCAATTTAAAAAAAAGATTCAAATAATGTTTAATGAATAAATGTTCAGGGTAAAAGGTCTTATTTATGCCAAATATTCTCCAGCTGAATTCTTCTCCTTGTGATCATCCTATGAAAAATTTCTTAATTTAAAAAACTTTTTTTAAACTGAAAAGTACAGAAAATAACCAACAGACACCCATGGATCTGTAACCCAGATTTAACATGCCCATATTTTGCTACATTTGCTTCAGATCTCTCTTTTCTTCTAGAAGTAAAACAAACAGACACAGCTGCTGATAGCCCTTATACAAATGGTTCTTTAAGGTGGCGCCTGGGTGGCTCAGTTGGTTGAGCGACTGCCTTCGGCTCAGGTCATGATCCTGGAGTCCCTGGATCGAGTCCCGCATCGGGCTCCCTGCTC